TTAAAGGAGGCAGCTGGCTCCTCCTTGGAAGCTTTTAATAACTTAAATAACAGAGAAAAGCACCTACATTTTAAATGCGGAATGAAAAACGGGATGCCTGACAGAAAAAAAACACAATGCAAAGTGTGTTAAAAGAAATGGAAGAAACGGCAGAGGTTCCTTCAAGATCACAAAGAGGAGAAGGAAATAAAAGAGTTGATAACCACAACTACAACATCCAAAGGCCTGTGAGTATTTAGGAGGGGTGGTTTAGTTTTTAGTTTACTTTATTGTCATTACACCTGTGCAACAAAATCAACACCATCTTCAGTGCACATCATGACCACAACCATGAAAATAAACCCAAACACACATCCTTCACCCTCCACACATTGAACCGAAAACCCCCGACACTGCACCAACCCTGCACTATACAGCAGAATTCAGAAGAGCTCCTGCCCTGGGATAGAAGCTGTTTTTCAGCCTATCTGTCCTTGTTTTTATTATTATTCTGTACCGGCTGCCAGATGGTGATAGTTCAAAAAAAGGGTTCCCAGGATGGGATGGATCTTTGAGGATGTTTTGAACTTTCTTAAGGCAGCGGGAGCTATAAAGCTCTTCCAAAGAGGGGAGAGGGCAACCCATGATCCCCTGGGCCATGACGTTCACCCTCTGGACTGCTGTCCTATCTGCCCCTGTGCAATTGGCAAACCCTACAGAGGTGCAGTGAGTTAAGATACTCTCTCTGGTGCAGCGGTAGAAGGTCACCAGCAGTTTCTCATTCAGTTGTTGTTTCCTGAGAAGCCTCAGGTAGTATAATCTCTGCTGGGCCCTTTTGACCAGGGCTGCAATGTGGGCACCCCAGGTCAGGTCCTCTTTTAGGGTAACACCCAGAAACTTAAAACTGGCCACTTGCTCCCCTCAGTCTCCATGGATAAGCCAGGGCTGGATGTCTGATCTGTTCCTTCTATAGTCCATTATCAGTTCCTTGGTCTTATTGGTGATGAGGACCAAGTTATTGTCTCCACACCACGAAAGCAACCATTGGTCCACCTCATCTTGGTAGGCAGACTCATCCCCCCCCCCCCCCCAGAGATGAGTCCCACCACTGTTGTATCACTGTTGTGTCTCTCCCCCACCACCGATCCTTGATAGGTGCAGCCTCAGTTTACCTACTTATTACATATATTTTTTTCAAGTCAACCTTCCTTTAAATACAGGCAGGCCTAAACATAAAGCATAAAGTAAAAAAATTGGGGAGAAATGGTGCAAGGATAATAAGAATTTTGCAAATTCCCAAACACAACCTTAGGGTTTTTCAATAATAAGAACGTTGCAACTTCCTAAAATAAAGCCTTGAATCTTTTCTCCTGCTACAAAGCACCCTTTCTTTAGTCTGTATTTATTTTTCCTTCTGGACAAAATCATGGACAAAAAGTAGCCATGTAGCCACAGAAGGCTCAACTCTTCTTTTGTTTATAAATAGTTTTATCCAATTGCAAGTCCTTATCTTCCAGGCCGGTATCCTAACTTTGCATTTAACCTGTCTTTTCACAGAATAACCGTAGAACAAGAGTTGGAACGGACCTTGGAGGTGTTCTAGTCCAGGGGTCGCCAACTTTTTGGACCTCAGGGACCACCAAATTCATAATTTTAAATCCCGTGGACCAGAGTGCCTGGGAAAATCCCCAAAAAAGTCTGCAGGAAAATTCCCCACCCCGATTTCCAACTGATCAATCGTTCTATATTTGGGATTGCAGGATACCGTCTCCAGCTCCATTCTCGAGTGGTGGGGAGAGACTTTTGGCTTCATGCAAGGAAAACAGAAGCAGCAGCAGAAGTCTTTCTTTCTCTCCCCCAAACCCCGCCAGAAATGAGTCTTTGTGAAACTTGTCATGCCGGCACAGCCTCTTGGAGCAGGAGGCCTTGCAGGGTCCCAAAGACTCATTTCTGGCGGAGTTTGGGGGAGAGAAAGGAAGACTTTGGCTGCTTTCCTTGCGGGCATCCAAAAGCAGAAGAAAGAAGTGGAAAGAAGCAGCCCGGTGGCCAGGTGAGGCGCGTGGGGCAAGTGGGGCAAGTTCTCCCTCTCTGCCCTTTCCCCCATCCCCTCACTACCTTGTGTTGTTCGCAATGCAAGCAACACAAGCCTTGTGTTCCCATGGGCCATGTGGGTGGCGCAGCCTGGATTAATTGCTTTTGGGGGTGACATTTCTCTGCAGACCACCAAAATTTATTTGCGGACCACCAGTGGTCCCCAGCCCACTGGTCGGCGACCACTGTTCTAGTCTGATCACCTGTTCAAGCAGGAAACTCTATACCCGTGATGGCGAACCTATGGCACACGTGCCACAGGTGGCACTCACAGAGCCATTTGTGCCGGCAAGCGAGCTGCAGGCAAACTTACCTCACTGGGCATGTGCCTGCCCCACAGCTGATTTTCGGCCAGTTTGAGGCCTTTTTCGGCCTCTCAAAGGCTTGAGGAAGGCTTCTGCGGGCTTCTACAAGCTTTGTAGGCCGAAATCTAGCCCCGTTTCGTCATTTCTGGTATTTTCGGGAAAAACAGGAAGTGACGAAACGGGGCTAGATTTCGGCCTATAAAGGTTGTAGAAGCCTGCAGAAGCTTTTCTAAGCGTTTGAGAGGCCGAAAAAGGCTTCAAGCCATCCGAACATCAGCTATGAGGCACAGTGCCGGAGGCGGTGGGGAGCGAGGGGTTGTTATTACGCATGCATGCATAGGGGATGTGGGCGGTCTTCTGGGTGCTGGCTCGCGACTGCGAGCATGCAAGCACACACACCATTTTTAGCACAGGAGCCCAAAAGGTTAGCATCACGGCTCTATACCATTTCAGACAAGTGGCTGTCTAATCTCTTCTTAAAAAACCTCCAACTTCTGGAGGCAAGTCATTCATTCCATGGATTCACAGTGGCTGGCTGAGGAATTCTGGGAGTTGAAGTCCATAGGCCTTTACATCGTCAAGTTTGGAGAGCACCCCCCTTTCTTTACACCCATATTTTGGAGACCCCTTTAGGAAGTTGAAGTAGGATTTGTAGCATCTTCAACGTCAGGTGAACCAAGTTTGGATGCTTCGCACCGACTCATAATTACGACGGCTGCAATGTCGTACGATCCCTTTTTGCAACCTTCCGACCAGTCAGTTGGGGAAGCCTGGTTCACTTAACGGCCCTCTTAACAACTCAATAACTGCATTGATGCATTTAACAACGGTGGGAAGAAAGTTCGTAAAACGGGGAAAAACTAAACTTTTGCTTAGCAACAGGAAGTTTTGAGGTCAGTTGCAGTCAGATGTCAAGGACATCCTTTAATCCTATGTTTTCAGTACTCTCAGGGCCCTGCTATCTGCTCTTGGGGGGCATCAAAAGGGGAGGAGGCTGCTGTGTGGAAATTACAAAAATCTAAAGACCGGGCGTGGGAGAGATTTTGATTTTGGATCTTCACAATGGACAATTCATCACCAGGAGTTTTTTTCTTCACCTTCCCAGCTGGACTGTCTCCAAAGCAACTCGGTTTTGTTCAGAAAGAGAAACGGCCGTGTCTTTGCTGGTGCAGGCGGGGACATTTCCATATCCGATTACCTTTGTCAGAAATGGTGTAGGGCCTCCCGCTTGGGCGGGGGGTTGGACTAGATGACCTATAAGGTCCCTTCCAACTCTGATTTATCTGTTATATCTGTTATCTGAATTTGGGGTCAAATGGTTCCTCTTTAAAAGAACTGTTTAATTCAGAGTAAAGGAGTGTGACATCAGATTCACTATCTAGTGACTTCTGGGCAGCATAGGAATGTATTAAGATAGACAGCTAGGTGTGTGTGTGTGTGAAAGAGAGAGAGAGGGAGAGAGAGAGAGGGAGAGAGAGAGAGAGGGAGCTAGGCAGAGAAATGAGATGGATGGATGATGGATGGATAGATGTAGAGAGATAAGATTATAGATATAGGGTGGTAGGTAGATTTAGATAGACGTAGAAAAATAGGTAGATAGATATAGGTAGCGTGAGAGAAAGTTAGGGAAGGATGGATGGAGAGAGAGAGGTGATAGATATAGGTAGGTAGGTAGAGATACTGTAGATCAAGGGTCTTCAAACTTGACAGCTTTAAGACTTGTGGACTTCAACTCCCAGAATTCCTGAGGTGACATGACTGGAGGAAGAGGAATTTTGGGAGTTGAAGTCCACAAGTCTTAAAGCTGTCAAGTTTGAAGACCCCTGCTGTAAGATGGATGGATGGATGGATAGATAGATAGACAGAGACAGACAGACAGACAGACAGATAGATACGCCTTAAAATCAAACGCGCTTCCCAAAGCCACCCAGAACGGACTTTTTCTTTTAAACCACAGGGAGAGATCTGAAACTTCCAAGAACTCCAGGAAAAGTTTGGGAAAATTGAGCTCCCACCACGAACCAACCATGATGGGAGACAGGTCAGCTTCTCAAACTCTTCCATACCCCTGCCCTGCTGGCCGTGTTCTCCTTCGCTCTGGGATGGAGGGGAGCAGTGCCTGGGGGGGGGTGTGCAGGCGGGCAGGAGCAAAATTTGGGGAGGAAGTTTAAAGAGAAAGTTTAAACTTTGGAGGGAAAGTTTAAAGTTTGGGGGTGAAGTTTAAACTCTGCTGGGAATGTTTAAAGTTTGGGGGAAAATTTAAAGTTTAGGGGCAAAGTTTATAAAGTTTGGGGAGGAAATTTAAAGTTTGGGGAAAAGTTTAAATTTTGGGGGAAAA